TACTTTCACCCTGGCACATATTTGAAATTAGTACTGACATCCCCAGTGTGTACATGAAGGTTGGAATACCATCGAGGATTTGATCCTAGAATATTTCTCTTTTACATAGGCGGGCCTGTTCACTGTTTTAAAAAAAGTGTTTAATTTTGCTCGTCAATTGATGTTAAAGTTGAAGTGTGCATTTTCTAGGCACATTGTGGTGTCTAAGTATATGGTTCCTATTGATAGCAATAGACCTGTGCGTGTCGATGTGTTTAGAACGTTAACAAACGTCTAAAATTTGTACACCACGGTGTCCTTCAAAGTTCTTTCCAAGAATTTTGCAGCGCGCCGAGGAATTGAAGCACTTCATTTGTTGCTGCACACCAGTATTGCAATCACGTGAGTACGCATGAGTGTACCGGGTGTTGCATAAAAGACACAGGTGCGGGCGGGTTTGCCTACCCGCTTTGCCCGTAAGGCGCCATAGCCCCTTGGGTAGGCAAACCCGCCCGCGCCTGTGTCTTTTATGCAACACCCAGTACTTGGTCTTCCCTCGCTCCATACCCATTCCAGTCCCCTACTCCTACGACGCTATTCGAGAGTGGCGTCGATTCGATCGTGTTTTGGACTGTCGCATATTAGTATGAGTTCCACAACTGGTCACCTTTTAGCGCGGAATTCAAACGTTCAATCTAAACCATATCCGAAATTACCACTAAGTCTTCTACTATAGTACTTTTCGTAAGTATCAAATCCTCGATGGTCGGAGATATCATGTCCTCTATTTTACAAACGGTTTGATAGATGTCATTATTCATATTTTGATATGCCATTTCTGACTGAGATATCGCAACGTTTCATAGAGCTCGCAATCAAACCAGAGCTTTGATATGAAAAAGCAAAACGCAAAAAAACTGCAATATTGTTAACATTTCGACGACGATTGCTTACAATGCATCTGAGCAGAGATACGGCGGAAACAAAGGTTGACGCCGTATACTGATGACCCAAGTAGGCTGGTTTTAGAGCTATGCATGAATTTTCTGGCTAGATGCAATCGAAACAATTATCGTCTTCGAAATGTTAGCTACATTGCAGTTTTTACCGTTTTGCGTTTTGCTGTCACACCTGTGATCACACGGTTACATGTGACGCGGGGGAGGATGCACGTGACCGTGGAGCACAACGCCACGTTGTCGAATTTTCTATTTACCCCTCAATTAATACTGTTAGGGAAATAACCAACCATAGCTGCTCTAAAAACTCAAGTGTGTACTTTACGGGTTGCCTGTCTTGCAGCTTGAAGCATGCAGGGGTTCCTCGGTTTACTTCCACCGTATATGGGTACCCGTACAGAAAAAATGAGATCTAGAATTTCTCCAGCCGAGACATCGTAGAGACAGATTGAAGACGACATGCAGACTTCTACGAGACATTCTGGAGATAAAATTGGAGTCACCCGAGAGCCTTGTAGGAGACAACGTAGAGATATTCTCGAGTCATCAACGGTGTCTCGTAGGTGTATCCATAAAGTCTCGAACACTGATAAACCAAGTGTTTAACTGCTCAACACTTGCAAGTGTGCAATCACAAGTTCAATACTTGCAAGTGTTCAATTCAGTAGTAATACACTTGCAAGTGTTCAACTCGGTATTTGTGCACTTGTAAGTGTGCAACTCCTCTGTTGAACACTTCCCTTCCAGTACGCGCCCGATATAGAGAAGTGTACAAAAGGAGAGTTAAACACTTACAAGTGCACAAATATTGAGTTTAACACTTGCAAGTGTACTACTACTGAATTAAACACTTGCAAGTATTGAAATTGCGGTTGGACACTTACATGTGTTGAGCAGTTGAACACTTGGTTTATCAGTGAAAAGGAGTCTGCCTCGAGGCAATGCCGAGACATTTCTCTGGAGACACCGTAGAGACATTCTGAAGTCATGTCCGGAGACATGTCGACGTCAGACGCGAGACCTGTGGGAGGCACCGTGAAGACATTCTAGAGACAGCGCGCAGCAGAAATCAGTGAAAACGGAACGGGCGGGCGCGCCGCAGCGCGCCGCCAGTCCGACTCGAACCGAGAACTTCTCGCTTCGGAGT